GAAAAATAAATCGTTCAATCGGTTCTACTCAGTGCGTTGTCGTCATATACACGCATCTCTTGCCGTAGGGCCTTATTTTGTTGAGAGTTTTTTTTATTGAAGCTTTAGATGAATTTTGGATCTTTACATGTTTTGTTTTCTGTTAGAAGGCGTTGCACTTTTTAACATGTTTGGTTTCGTAAGCAGATTACGTCAGCAGATGCCCCGCCGTCGGCCAAACAGACCCAAAAATTGTAAAAAAGCTCCTATATGAATGGCGACAGTAATAATGTCACTAGAAAGCGCTGCTAACCTGTGACCTTCTCCCACAACTGCGTAATATCTTAGCGAATCCGACTATCTTTTCTCAACGAAACACTTGAAAAATTGTTCATGGAAAGTTCTTGCGTGCTTTCTTTACATAAAAACGTCAGTTGAGATCACGTGAAAGAGGCAAAAATTTTCGGTTTCCGACAAGAAACGGACCTGCGAAAAGCACACCCTGGGGACGGTTGCGGGTAGGTGGGGCGGAGACAAGCGGACGCGTAGGTCGGCCACGTAATAGGCGGCGCGTTGAAAGATCCAAACCATAGTGTTCAAATTCGGAGAAGAGAAAAACGATGAAAGAGGGTGATGAAGTAGAAAAAAGAAATGTTATTGCCATAGGTGGAAAGGGCCTAAAACGATCTAATAATGAAAGCAGTCCGAGACCCAGCATTTGTGACTGTGATGCACTGCGGAACTATAAACGCGTAACAGCTCCTGGAATTATTCTCTGAAACAAACGCGGTTTTTTGTCTTTCTCGTTCTCATCCTGAATGATGGGTCTCAAGCCAGTGATTCATAGGTGTATACGTATAATAGTTATGATTTTTCTGTGGACAACTTCAATTTGGCCTTTTGATTTGGGATGCCACCACACACAAATCGAGCGCGATGGTGTCGTTCAATAGCATTTCAGGGAAACAAAAAGAACATACTTGATTTTTCATATGATGTTGATAGAAACTAACACTAGAAAAAAACGTGACGTCAGCACAGTTTGAGCTCTCGAAGCAGAATTTCAGGCAACTTTCGATATCAATTCCGCTTTTTCTATTTGCTTGTGATGTTTTTGTCACTGCAGAAGGAGGAAGTTGTGTGAAAGTGCAGGACAGACCTGGAGTCACCTGAAAAGAAAATAGCGTAAGGAGCTAAATCTCAAATGATTGCCCTTGAAGCATTTGCAGAAAGGGTCCGCTACGATTCTGAAGGGTAATTCACATCTGGGAGGTTGCGTATGCGAGACACAGATGCCCATTGATTTTGACCCTGCGTCTGAAGCAACCATGGCCCGCTAGTTATGGAAGTCTACAAAAGTGACGTGTGGTAAGGATTGTTACTACGTGTTCGCACGCTACATCAATCTGTGGGTTTATATACAGAACATGTGGGCGGTGTTCAGATACCGTATCGCCACTGGACCGCTGAAGGCTAGTAGCGCATCCCAAATCTGATAAACGAAATAGCGGATGACACTATTTAAGTTACCTTGTTGATTGCACACATGTGGTACCCCAGGGTTATGCGTGCGGTATCTTTTGAAACAATATTTATAAGGTAGGAGGGAGGGAGCAAGAAGAACGACACTTTGCCCATATCGCCCTTCAACAAATTTTATCGCGGAAATTCCCGCCTAGGCGGAAGTCGAACAGCGGGTATTTCTTAAACGTTTCTTTATGAGTAGAAGTAAAGCTCTTTCACTGCCCTCACCGTCTTCAGAATATGACGTCATCTGTCACCGTCGTCAGGCTCAAGGAGGTCTACCGTAAGCTTCAGCCTGAAGCTCTTACGCAATTTCGTGAATCGATTTCAATGTTGGATAGTTTCCTAGAGGCATTAGCTTTAACCTTGCAAACCCCCTGTCAACTAGCTTTTTGACGAAAGTGGTAATGGCTTACAGTCCTTTGAGAACCGCTTTGAGCACAACTCGTGCGCAATGTTACCGCGGCAGATTTTTCTTGTGTCATCCACGTAGAAGACCACTATGAATTCCTCATAAAGTGAAATGTGCTCAAGTTACAACTTGGAAGCATTCCATTTGTAATTGGCATGATGTGAATGAATCTATCGGATGAAAAATGCCTTTTCTATTGCTTTCCTCTCCTCTATATTACGTATGCATTAAAGCAACAACCCCATATGAGTCCTGTCGAGCAATTTACTATTGCTGGGATAGCATAGCCCGCGAGTATCACGATTGTGCTGTTGTTGCAGCTCAAAGTGCGCGACATAGCGCTAGGTCCTTACAATTTGAAATAGCGAGGGAGAGGGTGAGCTAATGGACGAGATATGTCGCGCATACACTATGACACCAGGGTCAACCGTCCGTTGGACAAAGTCCAACGCGACGACGAGAGTAATGCCGAGAGTGAACGTACGCACGGAGACACAGACGGCTCGCGGGTGTGAACATCGGTCCAACGTCGCTCCAATATCGGTCCAACGTAACGGTTGACCCTGTATGACACTCTGCTGGATTACGGCGCAGCGGCTGATTCAAACAAGCGCGGATTAGTGGAGCCAGGGAACAAGCAAGTTGGGACAGGACAGTCTAACACGGCCACCCCTCATGTCAGGGGTAAGAGAGAGACTCCTTGTACAAGGCTTCATCAGCGATTCGAGTCACTTCTTTTTTCATCGTCGGTCAACTCGGCATCCAAAATTCATTGTTCACCGCCTGTTACTCCATTAATTTGATCTGGGGTTGTTCCTTCAACTCAAATGAGTTGAATTTCATTGAACTTCATATGCATGGTGACGCTACCAAGATATGTAGATGGCTGTGAATCCTCCACAACGTACTGTAGCGATCAGAAGCACAGCTTACCTCCGTGAGATGCAGGAACACGGCCAATTCTGTAATGAGAAGCACCACACTGCGCATTCTTCCTCTCGGAACTGAAACTGTTATTCTGACTTTATTCCAGGGAAAGCTTGCTAGCACTTCATGATGAAAGCTACTTTGTCATCTCAAGTCATTGTCTCTCCTACTCCTGCGAAGTCTATTACGCATGCGTCCCAGTGTATAGCAAAGTCAACCGTCGTTGTGCATTTGCCAACGAGGGGGATTGGGAGAAGAAGATCGGAGAAGGAGTGAAGAGAGGTAAGTTCAAGGACCAGACGCACAATTCCAAAGTTTCACGGCATGAGTGGCGAAGAAGTGCGGCTCTCAAATCATTGAGAGAACTGACCACATACAAGTGCATAGCACATTCCAAAGTACGATTTCTCAGAAAAGTACAACACATCCTGCGAATTTGCTAGAGTGACTTCTGCATGGAGTCCTGATAGAGAATTCTTTCGAAAACGTTTCCTTTCAAAACTTTCTTAAGAAATTAATTTGTGATATAAAGCACAAGCGCGTTAATTCCAGAGTTTTCACCGCTCCCCTTCATAGAAATTTTTAAGAAGCGCGTGGGCGTTGAGAGTTGAAGGTTAAGAACTCGCATCTCAGGAAAATAGCCCGAAAAAATACGAAGGAAAAAAGGAAAAACGGGCCTAGTTTTTTCGAGATCGTGATTTTCCACTAAGTTTCAGCACGTTTTCGAGAGCTCTGATCTTCTGGCTTCACATAAGCCGCAAAGATCTACAAAAATTTTACCATGAAGAAAGTTATGATTGTTTTTTTGAAGCTCCTTGTACAGGGAAAATGGATCAAGGGGAAGATCTCTTGGAAATAGAAATTCGTCGAGCGCTATTTTTTTGTGGAGGAGGAAGGATATGTATTTTTGAATTTTTGGCATCCCATTTGACAACGAAAGTGAATTGAATCTATTGGAATATAATTAGCGTAATACATCAGCGTAATAATAGACAGGGGTCGACAAAGAGTTTGGCTTCAGTTTTGTACGGCCCTTAGAGGAAGTCAAACATTTGCAAGCAAGAACTTTACTGACAATAGACATGATCTCAGATAGAAATAGGTTTCGATTTACAAAAAAGGTTTGAAAGTTTG